GTGACACAAGACTGGAGTAATGGCTGCTGAAAATTCAGCTTTGCCATCACAGGAATAAATTATAATTATAAATATATTATAAATTATTTGAAAATGTATTAAAATAGAAAAAAAAGTCATTTTAAATTGTAATAACATATCACAATATTACTGTTTTTACTGTATTTTTGAACAAATAAATGCAGGATTGGTACAAAAACATTAAAAACAACCTTAAACCTATGAATGTTGTGTATTTAAAATCTAAACAAATGTGATGATTTGTGGAATTCTATCAGTTCCCATTTCTACAAATACATTTCTTCATATTTTTCACTTTAAAAATGTAATTATAATACAATACATTTTAATAAATAATTTACCCAAAATGTATGTGTATTGCCTTGTTTAACATAATAAAAAAACTATATAAATAAGGGATATCATACTTATTAATAATATTTTACTTTTTAAATACACATGTTTCTGTATTTGATAAGGTCACTTTCAGTTAACTGGCACTTTCACATTCTTATTCGTTAAAATTAGTAGCATTTTTACAATGCAGATTTATGGAGCTTTACGGAATCTCTTCAGGTCAGGTTTGCCTTGTGCACCTCTCAGAAGTGCATGCCAACTTTGTGACACAACAAAGTTTAAAGCTTCAACAGCAGCAGTTGAATGGGTTTTTATGAGGTCAGAATAGTACATTAAAAGATTTTAAAGGGTAAATAAGAGGTTCATTTGGGAATTACTACTATTATTTTTACATCACTCTGGTGTCTGGGACTCCAGATGTAAAATCGGTCTCAACAGGCCATGAGATAGTGGCAACTCTACAAGCCAGAACAGAGGACATTCTGAAGATTCCAGAAGACTAGAGCAATTGATCAAGATTCCATTCACTCACTTCCTTTCTAAGCTGGAACTGACTGACTGACATCCTCAAAACACCGGAGTCAAGGAGACCGAGATGTCATCCAAAGACCAAGTGTGAATTGCCTCTGTCACAAAAGTTTTGTCTGAATCTCATTTAAACAATCAGAAAATTACATACTTACAATAAATAACACAAGGCCTTCTGTTAAGAGGAATACTTGCATTGTTCATCTCTTCATATTTACTACGTCAAGAACCAGCGTTGGTCAACCCACATCCATGGAGGTTTTATTAGAAACAGGTTTGATGATAATCAAGTTGGAAGTTCTTTGCAATGAGTGTACGCTTTCATCTGCGTTAGTCAACACTGGCACAATGTAACTATTAAAGGGAGAGACAGACAGACTCTCCCCATGGGGAACCAATGACGTTCGTACATGGTGGAGAACACACTGGTTACTATGGGAACCAATGGCGTAACTTGTCAGCTCGATCTACGCAAGTTACAAAGCCCACCGGATCTTCATTTAGACTTGCATATGAGGGTGCATTAATATGTAAATTCAAAAGTACACTGACAAATTAATAAAGGTCAACTGAACTGATTTAGTTCAACCTCACAGTACCTGGGGGCATTTCTACATGGGGATATATTGTTACACTTGCACAATTTCATGTTGTGGGTATGATTATGGATTTATATTACCTGTCAAAATGACAACATCCCGTGTGGCATATTTTTGTTTATTTTATTGCATAAGCGAAGAAGAAAAATCTTAAGACTAATTTTGAAACTAATAGTCTCCTTATGTGTTTTTAATTTTGATAAGGTATCAGAGTAGGCCTATTAGTTTTATATTGGAAGACCAAAGGAGCAGCAGTTACTATTTCAATCATTTAAATTGAAAAATAAGTATCGATATAAAGTCAACTGTGAGAAATTCTTAAGAAATATGTATCTATATTGGATTATTTCATTTTTTAAAAAAACACAAAAAAACAGAGGACTGTCTGTGTGATGTAGTACTGCCACCTCGTGGTTTATTCTATAATAACTATAAACTACATTGCAAAGAATTAACGGTTTTATATAGTTCTGTCGAATGTACATTACTGTATCATGTCTGAAAACATAACAGAACATTCCTGAGACTAGAAAATAAACCTATTCTCTAACGAATCTTTAATAAGTTTAGCTTATGAATATTAATTACGTCAGGCTAGAAACATTCCTGAGGCAACCAAGTCAAACTATTTAATATTCATACATATTCGGTCTTTCAGCAAATCAGATAAACCTACTGTGGAAACGTCACGTTAAATAATTAATATTCATAAGCTAAGCGTTCGCCATAGCGGAATTCCTCATCTAGGGGCGGGGCTTTAGGTTCAGACGAAGCGTGACGCCGTTATACTGATCCGGAAGAAAATTTTATTTAAACTCTTAACAACTGACGTTATGTATTAAAGGTTGGTTATTTCAGAACGGATTTTGTAAGAAGTGGAAAATGACCTTGTTCAGACAAGCCCAACGCTGCACTTCTCCACGGCTGCCGTTTATTTGCTGGAGGTGCAGGACATATTCTGCTCAAGTAAGCCTGGGATCAATCCTGTTCATTGTTACATAAGTCTAAGAAACAGAATAAAGACGTGGTCACCAAGGGCTGCAGTCTGTTTACGTGGATAACGAAGCACGAGAAATTAACAATTTTGAAATGAAATGAAAAATATATTTTCAAATGAACATAATACATATTAACTTACGAGCCACCAGAGTCATGCAGGTAAACATTCTGTATATTTCTCGCATTGTTCATTCTAGGCTGGAGCCGTCGAGCGGGTCATTTCAGCATTTCGCTCTGTTAGCGGAGATGAAGGGGTGTCTGTGGGCTCAGCTGGCAGGGATGAGTCTGTGCACAGGTGGGATTTCACTGCCATACCTGAGGGTCTTCTTCTTCTAATAACGTTTTATGGCGGATGGCAAACCAACTTCTGGTGCATTTACCGCCACCAACTGGACTGGAGTGTTACGCACTAATAAGCAACTAATATACATAAAAAAACGAAATCCTCCTGATTAATCCTATTTCTTTAATGTATTTTATAATAATACCTGAGGGTCACCTGCTTCTTAATCATATGTAAACAGTGCAGCAGTAGCTCCACCCACAGTTACAACCTATTTCTAATTTCATTTAGTTTAACTTTAAGTACTACAATTAAATAATTTTTTTTTAAACTATATAGCTATGTTTTTAATATGTAAGTAATAAAAACAACAAAAACACAACTAAATTACTAAAACTTTAACTAAAATAAAAAATATAAAAAATCTCATTCAAAATGAACAAAAGCTGTAATAGCATATCAATCATACTAAAATAACACTGATTGGATGTTTGAATACATAGAATAATTCAAGCCTAATTTAATCTTTAACTTGGCCATATGTGTTATATTATTGAAAATGATTAATGGTTAAGAAATATATGGCACGATGCGCGAGAACGTCCTGAACCTGGAGGTGGTTCTAGCAGATGGAACGGTCCTCCACACAGCAGGGAAGGGGCGTCGTCCAAGGTATGACTGCAAAATTACAATCAAAGCATCTTTTAAACTAAATCTTTTGTTGTCTGCATTTAATTTTTCCCCTTTTGATGCAACACCCTTTCAGAAAGACATCTGCCAGTTACAACCTGACAAACCTTTTTGTGGGCTCAGAGGGAACTTTGGGTATTATTACCAAAGCCACGCTTCGGTTGTACGGTATTCCTGAAAGTATGGTGTCAGCTGTCTGCTCCTTTCCATCCGTCCAATCTCTATTTCTAATTTAATTTAGTTTAACTTTAAGTACTACAATTAAATAAAATTTTTTTAAAAACTAAATAGCTATGTTTTTTTTAAGTAATAAAAACAACAAAAACACTTTAAAATAAAAAATATAAAAAATCTCATTCAAAATGAACAAAAGCTGTAATAGCATATCAATCATACTAAAATAACACTGATTGGATGTTTGAATACATAGAATAATTCAAGCCTAATTTAATCTTTAACTTGTCCATATCTGCCATATGTGTTATATTATTGGAAATGATTAATGGTTAAGAAATATATGGCACGATGCGCGAGAACGTCCTGAACCTGGAGGTGGTTCTAGCAGATGGAACGGTCCTCCACACAGCAGGGAAGGGGCGTCGTCCAAGGTATGACTGCAAAATTACAATCAAAGCATCTTTTAAACTAAATCTTTTGTTGTCTGCATTTAATTTTTCCCCTTTTGATGCAACACCCTTTCAGAAAGACATCTGCCAGTTACAACCTGACAAACCTTTTTGTGGGCTCAGAGGGAACTTTGGGTATTATTACCAAAGCCACGCTTCGGTTGTACGGTATTCCTGAAAGTATGGTGTCCTAATGGACTTTTTATTATTGTATAATTATCATGCTTTTGTTCTTATTTAGTTTGCAATAGTGCATAGTGTACTGTAAAAAGAATGACTGTTATCAAAGAGGTTTCCCAAACACTGCCATTGGTCAACCAAACAAATAGCCCCTCATGTCATTGGTTGAGCCACTGTTGCTATGCTGGGCTGGTCGGAATGCTCAAACAAACAGCAGTGTTTTGATAGCACCACAGAGACACATTTTTATTAAGGAAATAAAAAAACAAATGGCTTAATTATAGTTATGAATGAATTTAAAGTTGTATTAGGACAAAGTATTTTTAACGTAAAAAAAATTACACATTTTCCAGGCATTTTCTACATATTTATGAGTGCTCTCTCAACTACCTCATGTTACAGTGAAGACAAAAGATCTAATTAATAAAAACTTACTAAAATAATATAACTATATTAGAATTTACTAAAACAATATAAAAATGATAATATAAATTATATTTTTTATTTCTTATTCCAGTCATAACAGTACATATATATTTGCTTAAAAATCATGACTGTTTCCAACAGGTTTCCCAAGCATTCAGCCATAGGTCAGCAATAACCAATAGCCCCGCCCTAAACTCACACCATTGGCTGAACCAGTTGCTATGCTGGTCAGAATGCTCAAGCAAACAGAGCAATGTTATGAAAGCACCACACATCCACAGTTCAAATCTATTTAGAGAAAACAGCCTACAAATGGCTTTTTATGAATATCAAGTTAGAGAAGGATTACATATTCAGAACTCAACACTATACAAAAATGTACTCATTTCCTTACAGGCATATTCTACGGATGTCTGTGTGCCAATCTCACGACTGCCTCAGATTATAGTGGAGACAAAGGAAGATCTAATCAGAAACAATATTACTGGTAGTTTACCAAGTTTGATTTTCTCATTTAGTGTTGAGAACTATTTTTAACTGCTGATATAATATATTAATATTTTTCCTACTGTAGGTCATGTGGGTGATGGCAACTTCCATTGTTTAATAGTACTGGATCCTAATGACCCAGATGAGGTGCAAAGGGTTCACTTCTTCACTGAGAGACTAGCCAGGTATTTCTATTTCATTCCTTTCAGCAGTTTTGCTCCCTTACAATGATCTTCTGAGGTAGCAGAGAGGGTCTTGGCTGCAGCTTTTGTGTACATTGTCAGTTTTGTTTTGTGTAGCAATCAATTTCAGGATTATTTCTCCGTGTCTTCTGCCATTTGAAGAGCGTTTATTGACAATGACAGACATAGAGGGTCTAGAGTCTGGCTTTGGAAACAAGCACAAATAATAAAGGTCCTACCTGCCTTAAGTCATTACGGTTAAAGTGCAATCTCTGTCGGATACAATGGACGAGTGATCGGCAACGACCAGCAGCCAAAGAGAAGACAAAAACGGAGATCTCATTTGCTTCAATGAAACCTGGCTGACTTGATACTCAAAAGTTCTTCCTGATAGGAGCAAATGGAGTTAGACTTGCCCTTTTTGTGAACGACAGACATGGCTTTACTGTAAAAGCACAAGTTTGCAAAAACCATTGCCATATTAACTGCCAAAGGAGTGTTTGCACGCTGAAGTTGCAACTCTAAGAGCAGAAGAAATTTTATTGAGTTGAATTTGTGTCGAAACTTAAGCAGAACAATGTGAAGAAATTGAAATGGATTTCAGGCTTGTTACCTGGAAGTGCAGAGGAACTTGGCCAGGTTTAGTTAGATGAATCTGTTCAGTCAATTCAACTTCAATAACCTTCTGTCTTTTAAAGGAATGTGCTGGGTTCAATTAAAAGCTGGAAACTGGGCATTGTATACTAAACGGACTTTCAAATTGTTCCGAATACAAGAAACTCAGGCAGAAACTTACTCCTCATTGCTAAGAGACATATAACAGATGAAAACAATGTCTTCTAAAATTGTATCAAAATATTAATCATGTTTGATTTCCTCAGAATGGATGAAATTTTAGTTTCAAGCTAAAAAATCTAAATCTGTGCCCATCATTAACATTGTTGGGGTAATGCATTACAAGAAACATGAGTTATGTAATCAGATTACTTTTTCCAAGTAACTAGTAAAGTAATATTACTTTCAAATTTACAACTAAATATGAGTTACTTTTTCTACGCAAGTTACTTTGTCTCATTTATTCACTAACACCTCTCCTGTCCCTGTGTTGGGAGAAATTGGGAGTGAGTTCCATAAGGCTGAGACACTTCCTTCAGCCTGAGGCTTATTAATTTCACTTTTGGTGTGAAAGGGTCCTTACAGTTGCCAAAAATATAACTTTTGGGTTTTTGTTATTAAAAAAACAAATAAGCAAGCCCAACCTAAAGCAACATAATACATTAATTTCCAATTAAAAGTAACTAAGTAACATGGTTACTTTTTATGGAGTAACACAGTATTATAATGCATTACTTTAAAAAGTAACTTTCCCCATCACTGATCAGAAACTATGTAGTTTCCTCTCAAATCTGTTAACTCCAACTGCCCAGCGTCTGCAGACTGGCTTTGACATTTGCCAACTAGCAGCAGTTCCTCCACACTGCAAATCTGGGCAAAAATCGCAGTGTATCGTTAGCATTTGATCCATTTCACTTACTTCACAAAATCATTCAGACTTGTCCTATTGCATTACAAATTGTGGTTAGAGTATATAATATAAGGTGTACCTTGTCATGTCGAACAGTAAGAACCTGCATGAACAAGATGAGTAGGTGTTGGATTTCTGCTGCGCCAGGGAGCCCCCGAGACCAGTCTTCATCATTTAATTGGAGAATGTGGAGGTGGAAACACCTGGGAATATGAATTGGACTGGACAGACAGCTCAGTTGCAGAGATTCTACTTCCTGAGGAAACTTTGGTCTTTCAGTGGTTGCAGACTGCTAAACATGTTCTTCAAGTCTGCCAGACACACTGAGGTCCACCAACAATGTCAGATCTGGTGATTCCAAGCATCTTAACTGATCAAGATGGCCAGATGTGTTCACCCTATTTATTGCCAGTAACAATTACAGTGGATTAATTTATTTTCTTGTTGTCTTTCCCTATGCAGGAGGGCACTGGCGATGGACGGAACTTGTACTGGTGAACACGGGATTGGTCTAGGAAAGCAGGCTCTGCTCAGAGAAGAGGTCGGGCCATTGGCCATAGAGGTCATGCTGGGCCTCAAGGCCACTCTGGACCCCAAAAACCTCATGAATCCTGGAAAGGTGTTATAATGAATGCAAACCAACACAGAACACTGGAGAAGATACTCTGCACTAGGCTTTGACCACTAGAGGTCAGGAGAATGAGGTTTGTTTTAGAGTTTAAGAATGCTAATGATTTAGACTTAAGTGCTTTCAAAATCTGCACATGCAAAATATAATTTTTGTGAAAAGTGCATATGATTTAAATAATTTCTTATGTAGTATTATTGTGAATACGCAGTATTAATGTACAGGGCTGTAATAATGTAATTATTCCATCCTTTTCTTTTGCATGGGGCAGTCTCACACCACTTAAAGGGGTCATATGATGCTGCTAGAAAGAAAATTATTTTGTGTATTTGGTGTAATCAAATGTGTTTATGCGGTTTAAGGTTCAAAAAACACATTATTTTCCACATACTGTACATTATTGTTTCTCCTCTATGCCCCGCCTTTCTGAAAAGCATCGATTTTTACAAAGCTCATCATTCTAAAAAAGCGAGGTGTGCTGTGATTGGCCAGCTATCCAGTGCATTGTGATTGGCCGAATACCTCAAGCGTGTGACGGAAATGTTACGCCCCTTACCATACTGTGATGATGCCCTGTCAGGCCGGAGCGATGATTCAAAAACATGAAAACCCATTATAAACGAGGCATTCGTTGCATCCAGTGGTGACATAATTATGGATTATAATGACTTATACTCTTTTTACGCGTTGCGTTGCATCGCGCCGCGTAAACATAAAACCATGTCTGCATTTGTGATCGGAGAAATGACAAACAACAAGCCCTACTCTACACTGCCCAAAAAACTTGCTTTAAATATATAAAATATAAAAACTCTTTAAATATAAAAAGCTTACTTACAGTCAAAGTGAAATCATTGTGCCTTGGCAAATTTTTGCTTATTTGGGCAATTTGCCCTTCTACATTTCTGTGGATCTATTTGCTTCTAAAGAACAGAATCTGTGAAGCAGAACTCAAAATAAGGACTGATAAGATAAATGTGATACAGAAAATGCATTTTAATAAACTGAAAATAAATGAATTACATCAAATTATTTTGTCTCTTGTTCTTTCTTAAGTGACTGTTTTTGAATTTAATTGATCCTTTTATGTGTTTGCTGTGGACTTGTCCATAAAAGAAAGCAACATCTGGTTTTATTTCATCTTGTTTTAATTATATGTATGATCATCATCATTATTACTTGTCCCACAGATTGCACATCGAAATCATCAGACACTTAGTTTGTACACTCCTAGAAACAGGCATCCGTTCATGTCCCTGGAAAAAAATGAAAAGAAAAACAAACAAAATGACTTGACTTGAACGCAAAAATAAGAAAAGGATGGGTTTCGAGAGTGCCGAGTCACTTTCCGCAGCCCATGCTGCACAAGATAGTACTACGCTACCTGACTCTGTTTTTATTATTTGTTTGATTTGTTTTACAAGGTGAGGCGAAATTGTTATCCATTGTTTTGATGGATGGTGTTTGTATGCCCTCATTTACAGGCACAAAGCAGGAAAAAAAAAAACTCAGAAATGCTCTATTTCTATCCAACACAAAAAGTAATAGGTTGTCAGATATTTCCTTGCGGTTATTTTTTTTTACCTTTTTCATTTTACTCCTTTTTTATTTGTTTTGACTTTTTAATTTTTTTACAATTACAGCAACATTATTTTCTAACAGTGCTTGCTGTTTATACAGTAGACAGAGGCATCCTGAAGGTTAAATAGATTTCTTGTGACCTCAGAAATGCTCTATTTCTATCCAACACAAAAAGTAATAGGTTGTCAGATATTTCCTTGCGGTTATTTTTTTTTTACCTTTTTCATTTTACTCCTTTTTTATTTGTTTTGACTTTTTAATTTTTTTACAATTACAGCAACATTATTTTCTAACAGTGCTTGCTGTTTATACAGTAGACAGAGGCATCCTGAAGGTTAAATAGATTTCTTGTGAGGTTTCTCACAGATTTTTCAAAAATAAAAAGTTAATGCAGATCATAGAAATGATCTTGTAATAGATTCACACCAGTATATCTGGGCTTTACATACAGTAGTGAAGCAACATTAGCTTACCAGACGCAAGCTGGCTGGTCACATAGAGAAAACATGGGAGGATGGACAGAAGCTGAAATCACACACACATACATACACACACACACACACTGAATACGTACTCAAGGCTTTTACAGGGAAACTGTCTGAATATTATGGTCGGCGCTTCATAATAACTGCCCAAAAAATTGCAGATGAAACTAGGAAAATAGCTTTGAGCTTCTTATCGTTTCAGAATCTGTAGGGGAAAGACATCTACTGTGAATTGTAAACATTTGAAGACAGACCGAGAGTGTATCTTTCTCTCCATTTATGACCGTAAACCCCCATCCCAACGCACATGCTGATGTCTTGGACTTCCTCTGGCACTAACAGGAAACACAATTTGCACATTTCCCCGCCTGTGGACACATGATCACACACATGCACACACAGAATAACTAAATATACGTCCACCGGCTGTCCAACACATCACTAACGAGTGAACCGCACACACAAGACTCCTCCCACGAACCAGGTCTGAAACCCCGCCCCTGCCACACCCCTCTAATCAGCATCGTTTGATTGACAGGACAAGTGTGGCCTCTGGATTGATTTGCAAAGCGTGGTCTACTTCCTACTTGTTTACAGCATATGCCCTGCCCATTTTGTCGCCCTGCCCCTTGTGTTGCCCCGCCCCCTCTTCCCCATCTCCTTCCATCTGATTACATACACAAGGAGAGAGGACCTGGTCAGAATGCAGACTGAACACACACATCGATAAGAACACAGAGTATGTAGAGGGGGCAAGAAAGCGAGACGTTTTCCAAAGCCAGAGATCCGGTGTTGGTGGTTTTGCCGTGAAGGGGCCGGTTAGCAATTTAGCAGTCTCTAGCACAGCAGGCAGGGGATTCTGGGATTCTGCAAGTGGTAATGACGGTGTTGGCTGGATGAACGCTTTTATTTGGTTCAGTTTTGCGATGACACATTTCCGTTTCCATAGGTTTTGATCGAATTGGTTGGTAGATTGATTTATTTGGTTATTTTTGTGTCAGGATATCCAGGTTTAGGTCCATAAAGTGCCCTATAGTAAGAGAAAAAAGAGACAAAGATGGAATATGAGAGTCATACTGAGCCCGAGGGTGTTTTCACACTTGGTTTATGTCAGGGATCTCGGGAGGTGGTCTAAGCATGGTTTGCTGTAAGTCAGTGGTGTGTGTGAAGTATAACGTGCATTTATACATAGAAACTCAAGTTTGAAGCTTTAACCAGATTGCTTTTCAATATCGGACCAATCAATAAATTACAGGAAAAAAATCCTATATAAAAATAAAAATAATTATTATATAGTATTATATCTTATGCAATATTTAACTTACTACTACTACTACTAATAAAAATAAATAAATAAATAAATAAAACAAGTATTATTGTTAATAATAATAATAATAATAATAAATTAAGCGTTAGCGTTAGTTCTGGCAGGTCACGTAAGTCAAGCTGATCACATCTACCTATAGGAATACGACACCTATCGCGGCATTCCTATGTAAGCTCTATTCAGTATTATTCTGCAGCTTTTCAGCTTGCTCAGGAGCAAATTACCCTCCTCCATCCCCAGCTCCTCCTTTCGCCACAGTCAGGACGTGGCTTTCTGATATTCCTTGCTAATCAGACTCCTTTATCTTGAATAAAGTGCTACACTTAAATATCATTAAGTACATTAATGATATCTGCCTTGTTCTGTTCTGTTAACCCTAGGGGGGTTATTATTGCTGCTCTCCCTGCTCATTCATGACAGGCTGCATGGATGGGCAGGGAGGTTTTTGCCCAGAACAGAACCATACCTCCAAACCAAACTTTATGCTAAGTATCTATCATTTTAACGATAGTGGTCCTGACAGAATAATAATAATAGGAGAGTTGTCCGAGTTCTAGATGTTTGTGAAAGTTGATTTTTTTAGACTAGAGGACATAAGTGTAAAAACTTGCATTTGCATATTATTACTGTTATTTGTGATATTTTAACATTAATAATAATTAAAAATAATAATATTCTATTGAAGTGGTCTGAGTTCTAGACCTTTGTTAACATGGATTTTTTTTTAGAGGACTTAAGTGTTAAAAAAGTGTTTAATTTGCAAAATAATAATAATAATAAAAAGTTTATTACTGGTCTGAGTTCTAGAGCTTCGTGAACACAATTTTATATATAGAGGCCTCAAGGGTGAAAACATTAAGGTGATACTTTCACATTTACTACATGTCTAAAAATGCTCCAAAGGTGTGTTTGCGATAAATTTTTTTTAAAAATCCTGTGTTGCTACTCTGGAAAATGCTTTCTATAGTCTATTAAAAGTGGTGCACTGAAGTAATGAGATAATGCTGCTAATTACTGTTTGATAAAGTCAAAAATTCCAATAGGAAAGGATTACTTGAAATATCAGATTATTGAGACACGTGTTTGCATGTAGGTGAATATTTGTGTGATGGTGTTCACCTTTCTCACTGGTATCAGAAGTAGATGATGGAGGTCAGTCTGAAGGATGTTCAGGGCAGGAGCGGTTGATCTCAAACCAGGAGTCTATACAGCTAATGAAAAAGATGCTAACAATGTCAGCTTAGGTTCAATTTGAATGTAATTTGCATCAGAAAAACAACCTTTCCATTAGCATAATGCTTTTAAATGATTCTACTAATGGTTCTTAAGATGAGGTCCAGCATTAAATCATTTTGCTGTCCTCGCTAAAAGTGCAAGAAATGACTAAATCACAGCCAACATATTTGATGTTTAATATACAGCTATGTAGAGCAGGATTCTGGACTGGATATAGAAACCATGTAAGCAAGTGTAACAAATGTCTTGCCGGTTGCAGCTGGTTAGGCCAAAAATATTACGATTAGCTTGGAAGTGATAGGATTTATCGGTTGTCACTTTATTGTGCCTCGCCAGGTTAGGACTGAGCGTATAACTTGCTTGTAGCAAATTAGTTTGATTGTGCTTCAGCATCTGAAAACATCTCAAGTGTGAGCTGCAAAAGAACATCAGAACATCACATGTCAGCAAGTCATGTGGTTCACTTAAAGGTGTCTGAGGTTTGAGACAGACTTTCCAATACGTGTGCCATTCAATACCCAGAAGCCTCCTGCTGAGACACCATATCCAGACATGAAATGTCAATCATATAGTTACATAATTATATATAGGACATGACAAGGTTTGCGTTTCATGATCAGCAAAAAAAAAGTGGAATGTAAATTCTCAGGCAGTTTGACAGCTGAGACCGAAGCTCATTTGACTGGCTAAAAGCGGTAACATTTCCTGTCA